TTATTTGGGAACTTTTTTTTATTTTTTTTTCCTCCCATTCCAGGTCACATTTGCAGATTATAATAACTTCTGCTTCTCGACTCTTGTGATTTGCACAGCGATATCAATTTCTGCTGGTTTTGCATGAGGCTTGGCCTGTCTGCAGCACACCGTGGGCTTATCTTGCAGGGCGGGATATGTTTACCATGGAGGCAAATAAGGAAGTGCCAAGGCAGCAGCTCGGTGCAATGTTTAATGTTAATTACCACTCTTTATAGGTGATTGTGTCTAGGTGTGTAATTGTGATTGTGCACGTGTTTTTTGCGGCCTTTACTTGCCACCTGCTTCCCTTTATCACGGAAGAGGTTTCTATTATTGTTCATGCATCAGCTTCAGTTTGCCAAGTGTGTAGAAAACACACACGTGTACATGTCCCCTAAGGGGCTCCTGCACATGGGTGTACACTATGCTACGTTTAGATCCGTAAATTATATGGATCTGAACACAACAATTTTGTATGCTATGGGTCGATTTACACCGGTCCATTCTGCGTTTAGCTAAAGTAGAAAATATACATTTACAGTGTGTATATTACGCTGTACGCATGACTAAAGGCTGAGGTCATTCTGCACATGCACTGTATGAATGACCCATTCACAGGAGGCGTAAACATTAATAGTGTGTAATCAGTGGCGGCTGTGCCGCTGCCTATGCACTGTTCATATTTATTTATTTTTGTATTATTTATTACAAGTATTTATGTAGCGCCGACAATTTACACAGCGCTTTACATAGTGCACATTCACATCAGTCCCTGCCCTCCAGGAGCTTACAATCTAAGGTTAGATGTTGGCGCTGAGGAGCAGCGGCCATTAGGGTCCAGTTACGCTGTACGCATGTAAATGTTAGAATAATCATTACCTGCGTACAGACTACTTTTTACACAGGATATTGCTGCCTACACACTGTTCATATTTAGATGTCAGTCTTGAGCAGCAGCGGCCAATAGGGTCCAGTTACACAGTACGCATGTAAATGTAAACATAATTGTTACATGCGTACATCGTACAGATTACTTTTACGCAGTACTTTGCTGCCAGCGAGATGCTGCGCTAATCAACGCGGCTGGCTTATTAAGGCCTAATGGTAATGGAGAAAAATAGCAAATCAATGAGTGGCAACGATGCCACTGCCAACACACTGTTCATATATAGATCTCAGCTCTGAGCAGCGGCAGTCAGTGGGTTCCAGTTATGCTGTACGCATGTAAATGTTAGCATAACTATATCTTGCATACAGGGCACATTTTACACAGGGTCTTGCATAAATCAATGCAGCCATATTAATGAGGTAATATTGGTAATGGAGAGGAACAGCAAGTCAGTCAGTGGTGGCAGTGCTGCTTCCCCCATACTGTTCGTATTTTCATGTGGGACCTGGGCGGCGGCGACCAGTAGGGTCCAGTTACGCTGTGTAAACGTTGGCATAACCGGTACATGTATACAGCGTACAAACTACTTTTGTCAACAATTACGATCTTATGGTAATGGAGAGAAATAGCGCCTTTAGCTGCTTCCTGTATAGACGGTTGCTCTGTTGCTTCAGATCTTTCTCTGTGTAACAGGCCGGGTTCTCTCTACTGCCTGAAAGTCTCTGTGCAGGACTGAGAAGTCATTATTTCACCACTGTAGTTGTCATCTTGTATAGCTCAATAACAATGAGATGTATTGAGGCTATATAAACACGCTCACTTTACCTAACCGGTCATAGATATGTCGTCTTTTTCCTCCATATTGATGTAACCATGTGCACGTGTGTTGTTGTTTGTGTGTATTGCAGACACTCCCAGTAGCGCTCTTTATCTGAGGGAAGAGTAAAGGCCACAAGCTGATTAACATATACTGTACTTGTGTCTGGGTAACCATATACTGTAGAGCTGTTTATTCCTCATGATATTGAGGCACTTGCAGAATGGTAGAAGAAGCTTGTGATCTATTAAATGAATGTAAACATCGGGCTCGGGGGCCTCACTGTAGCTCCATACATAGGAGTGTGGTAGATGGACACTGTTTTTAGTGCACACAGGAATGAGAATGTAGACATGGGGCAGGGGCCGCACTGTAGCTCCATACATAGGAGTGTGGTAGATGGACACTGTTTTTAGTGCACGCAGGAATGAGAATGTAGACATGGGGCAGGGGCCGCACTGTAGCTCCACACGTAGGAGTGTGGTAGATGGACACTGTTTTTAGTGCACACAGGACTGAGAATGTAGACATGGGCAGGGGCCCAATTGTAGCTCCACAGGTAGGAGTGTGGTAGGTGGACCCTGTTTTTAGTGCACACAGAAATAAGAATGTAGACATGGGGCAGGGGCCGCACTGTAGCTCCACACATAGGAGTGTGGTAGATGGACCCTATTCTTCGTGCACACGGGAATGGGAAATCAGGGCTACATTCAGATACTTGCCTCTGAAAGTTACGCAGTTGAAAAACTTGGTGATCTCCGCCTGCTAGTTATCCTATGTTATGCTGACTCACTGGTTTTACTACTCTTAGGCTGGATTCACACTGTGTGTGACATAATACTTCTCTTCTGCAATAAAGAGTGGGTCTGCTTGCAATTTTTTTAATTTACAGGTAAAGTTCCACTTTAATGCAAGGCATGTGAAGAAGTAGAATAAGGGTGCCCACACACCTTACGATGATCGTACGATTATCGTAAGGTGTGTGGAAGCCGTGCGACCTCTACTACTGTAAGGTCGCATGACTTTAAACTTACGAACATGTTCGAAAACCAGCCGAGCATCGTACGATGTTCGGCGGGTGTGTAGCATGTTCCTAAGATAAAAGCCGGCCGGGCCGGTGTGCGCAAGCGCACACTGCCCGTTCGGCATTGCGGTCATCGGAAGCCCGCCCCTCAGGGGGGGCGCGGCTTGCGATCATCGCAAGTACGCTATGCCTGTCCAAGATAGGCAGATCGTACGTTTTTTTAAGTACCTTACAACCATCGCAAGACAAAAGTCTTGCGATGGTTGTAAGGTGTGTGCCCAGCATAACACACGTTTTAAAGCACTTTGATACAGCTATCGCACAGTGCACCTAGTGGGCGTTAACTTGCATTGCCATTCATTTGAATAGCACCCTAACACATCTCCTGGGGTTGTGCATTGCAGTACAGTGCAAGGTACCGCAGCATCCTGTGTTCTAGTGCGTGAAAATGATTCTTCCTCCCTTCATTGTGAGTC